GCAGGGGTGAGGGTCACCAGGCAGGGGTGAGGGTCATCAGGCAGGGGTGAGGGTCATCAGGCAGGGGGAAGGGTCACCAGGCAAGGGGAGGGTCACCAGGCAGGGGGGAGGATCATCAGGCAGGAGGGAGGGTCATCAGACAGGGGTGAGGCTGATCAGGCAGGAGGGAGGGTCATTAGACAGGGGTGAGGGTAATCAGGCAGGGGTGAGGGTCGTCAGATGGGGTGGGGATAAGGGATCATCAGGCCATTTTCTCCTAAGGCTTAGAAAACCCAGGCCTATTGTCTGCCTTTGCCAGAGGTTCGGAGTGCAAGCTAACCCACTGGGGTTTCAGACATGAGCTGTGGGTCTCAGAACAGGGGAGCAAGAGGAAAGGGGGAGGGAGGGGAGTTGCTGAGACAAGGATTAATGGGTGCATGTACAGACACGGTCTTGGCACGGATGCTGGAGAGAGGTAGCTACCATTGTTTCTATCCAGAACAACTTTATAACTCTAAAAAGCACTTAGCACATGAAAAACTGTCTTTAATGGGGGTTGGTTAGAACTGGACAGTATGAACTGTATTAGGTTTCTGAAGGCAAACTTCTCAGTTACTGCAAAATGTTCTCATAAAAAAAATGATCTAGAGGGCAGAAAATCTACTGCTTCCAGGAGACTAGAATATGGTTATGTACTAGCTGTTGAATATTGAGAGGCATTTTTAAGCATCTTAAGAATTTGCTTCAAACCTACACATGGGCGTACACAAGAATGTTTTTATATAAGCTTTTCATTTGAAAGACATAAGCTGGCCAGAGTTTGCTCTTTTTAGCTAGTAGCAATAAAATACGATCCAGGAACCAGAGCAAGCAGGAAGATTCAGGCACCAAACAAAAAATACAGAGAACAATGTGACCAGAGAGACTGGGAAGAGTATGAAAGGTGGCAGCAAACGGCACACCCAGGTTACTGTTTCTGGGTGCTGCTGTTTGCCTCCGAGACCAGAGGACACCTTCTGAAGCCTAATAAGGTGGAATTCTGCAATTTGCCTTCGCTGTGGCCAGATTCTACTTTCTCATCCATTTGTCTTCAAAGACTAGAATCAATTCTCAGAAATACTTTAGAAACAAATACGACACAATTATCTGCTAGACGAGCCACTGGGAACAGAAGGGAATTTGCCTTTCTGTTCAATATTACGATTTGCCCAAAGGCAGCCCTTGCCTAAAATGTCTGGGAACTATCACCGATCACCGTGTAAACATTCCAGCCCCAGCAGATCCAAGCTCACAGAACTAAGCATGGATGACTAGCAGTAAGCTGCAGTCAAGTCAGGACTATATCTCGCTATTAAGAACACTTACGTTTCCCTGTGCTCAATCTTTCAGAAAGCAGACTGGCGACAGGAAAGGTCTTCAGACAACCAGGGTGGCAGTAAAGAATGTTAAAAGCTTTTTAACTGTTTATGTTTTATTTGGGGGTGACAGGGTTTTTACAGTGGCCCTCACTGTCTTGTTTAATCTTTCAGGTTGTGTTGAAAACCATCAAGATTTATTCTCCTTTGTCCACATGTCGGTTCTACAGTAATATTCATTAGCTCAGAAAGAGTTAGGCTGCCTTTTCTTCTATGTTCAGTTTCAGTGTGTGTAGAAGTGTGTGTGTGTGCATGTGTGCGTGTGTGCATGTGTGCGCGCGCGCGTGTGTGTGTGTGAAATTCCTTCTTCTCCAGAGCCAGTTAAGCTGCTTCCTCTCCTTATCAAGGCCTTTGTCCCATAGCTGTCGCAGCAGCGTCTTCTAAGTATGCTTTTACCTTTGATCTCTAGTCCACTCTGTTCTCTCTTCCTTCCCTCTCTGTCTTTTTCTGAGTATTCTTAGTTCTGCTGCCATGTCGGGTGAGTTTATCAGCATGTAAGTGACAGGGACACTGAAGAAGGTTAAGGACCAAGATGAAATCGAATTTCCTGTTTTTGGATTATCAAGAGCATGGCAAATAGTATATCAATACTATTTTTACTAAAATGTTTTCATTGAACGAAATGTTATCTTTTTGTGTATGTAAAATTACCACTCAGAGTTGGCCAACAAGGTCCTATAGACTATGCAGACATCTTAGACTGTTACCAAGTCTATTGGCTACTCGCCATAGCCTAATCGTTAGACCCTATTGCTAAAGAACCTAGTATCAAACATATAGAAATCAAACTGGTGCTAAGTAGAAGTTTTACTCCTAACTAGAGTTTGTAGTTCTGAGCGGTACTCTCTGCATGCTACCTGGGGAGAGAAGTCACCGTTAATGTTGCCTAGCTACAAGCCCCAGGACCTACAACAGTGACCAGCCTACAAGACATGCTAGCACAACAGTAGCCCAAACATTATGTGAGGCACTGAGGACATTTTGCTTGGATTTAAGGCCCAATCCATGAGATAGAAGCGAATCCTGAAAATTGCTACGGTGGCCAGGATCCTGACACTAGATAGGCCATGGGCCTAGAAACAAAATGACTCCTGATAACCTACTGCTATACCCACGCATCACAACACTGCTCAGCCCTCATCAGGGAAGCCTCTTCGTGCAGTAGATGGGAACTGTTGACCCAGAGACCTACAGCTAGACACTGTGCAAAGACTAAGGAGGCTCTGGGCACTCAGCCATCCCCACACAGATGTGAGATCTCCATCACCCCCTGCCCCAGGAATCTCTGTGGAAAAGGAGGGGGGAAGATTGTGAGGGCCAAAGGTGATGGATGACTCTGAGGAAACAGCTTTTGCTTGTTGCTGTTGTTGTTGTTGTTGCTATTATTGTTGTTGGTTTGTTTTATTTTTCAGACACAACAGGATGGATGTGCCTGTGAGCTCACAGAGACTGTGACAGCACACACAAGACCTGCACAGGTTCCAACCAGACACAATCCCAGTACTGAGAAGGGGAAGTTGACTCAAGACCTTACCCCTCCCTAACCAAGAAGCAATCTCCAACTGATATCTGCTAGTAAAGGAAAAAAAAATACGTTTTCCCCAGTGGAGTGTACCTGATTCTATCAACCATGTCCCAAGGCAGGCACCGTGCCCAGGAGCATTAATATGCAATCATTGACAAAAAAACAACTTTAGATTATTTTTCTACACTAAAGAAGCAGGTGTCACAGAGTCAATCAACATCTCCTTAGTATCAGTGATACAGTTTTGTGAGTGTTCCTATTTTAATGATCAGGTCGTTTTCACTCTTTCATGCGATGGTGACAGCCTTGCCTTGGCCTCTGAGTCACTACCTGCCTGGGTGGGGCTTCCCATGCATGGAACAGACAGTTGAGAGCCAAGCACGGACGTGCAGTTTCTTTAAGGCCAGGGCATGGATAGAAAGAACACATCGCCAACCACCACCAAAAAAAGCTATTTTTAGCTTAGGAAGGAGATTAAAACCAGTCACAGATTACATCTTCAAAGCAAATTCAGATGCTCAAGAGGATGAATCCCTATGTAGGAAAACCCACAAACATTTTCCAAGATCTTTAGGCAGTAGGTTTTTGTTTGGGCTTCTGCATTGTTACAAACACGGTAAATACAAAGACAGAGTAAGAGCAGAAACATGTAATTCTGGCCATAGGGAGGCTGTGGGAGGAAGCGTCTAAGTTGAGAGCATGCCTTGACACACATAATCTGTCACATAGGTTTTGCTGTAGATTGTCTATCCAAGGGCAGAGGAGTTACAGAAAGCTGCTAAATAATAAACCCACAAAGC